CCCCAAGAGGCCGCCATGAGGCCCCAAGAAGCCCCCAAGAGGCTCCAAGAGGCTCCCAGGATGGTTCCAAGAGGCCTCCAAGAGGCTCCAAGACGCCGCCATGGAGCTCCAAGAGACCCCCAAGACGCCCCAAGAGGCCTCCAACAGGCCCCCAAGGGCCCCCCAAGAGGATCCCAAGCGGCCTCAAGAGGCTCCCCCGAAGCTCCCAAGACGCCCAAGAGCCCCCATTGACCGCCAAGAGACCCCCAAGACGCCCGAAGAGGCTTCCAAAAGGCTTCCAAGAGGCATCCGAGCGGCATTCAACCATCCACCCAGCGTCATCATTCTCCTCATCCCTCCTTCGCTCGGTTCCTCGCCACCCCCTCATCTATCCATCTGGCCTCCTCTTCCGCCTCATCGTTTGCACGGATCGGCTGTCCCTCTCGTTGCTCCCCCACTTCCCTGATCTCTTCGACTTGCCTGGACATCGTTTCTGGATGGGCTGGTGGGGATACGCTTTTCCGTTCGGCGGCTCGAAGGACAGATCCAGCGAACGGGAATAACGTCTGGGCCACAGAGCGAGATAATTGGCTGCAGAGGCGCATAGGCCGCTGTAGCGAGTGCACATGCCAGGGACAAAGTGACCCTCATTGGGGACCGACGCAGGCGGCCCAGCAGATGGGGACGCAAGCACAATACCGGAAGCGGACGGACAGGAGCAGTCGCACACATGGCGCCAAGCACCGGCAGTACCGTACAGCACGTAGGCGTGAAGCACGCCGCACTGTGGCGGCACGGGATGGCCAGGCGTGGCCAGCACCGTCCATGCAACAGAAGGTGGGGCATAGGAACAGGAGAGACACAGCGGACGCCAGGGCACCCGGCGGCAGGAGAATGGGAAGGCACAGAGAGAAGCCTCACTCGCCAGACTCACTGGACGCTCTTGGACGTGAGAGCGACCGGTACCCAGTCAGCGGACCAATCGCCAATGCCGTCTGTGTCCACAACATGCAACTTGTCCGACACGGAGGATCGGGGGCGTAAAGTTGCAAGCGCTGGCCAAGGCACCTGAACGAGGGACCAGCCGGGGGAACCGCGATGACCTGCCAAACGATGAACCACTTGTGCAGGAGCTTGAACGCGAGGGCGACGACACCAGTCAGCGAACCTGACGTTGAAGTCGCCGGTGTCCACCGCGTGCAACTTATCCGACACGGAAGATCGGGGGCACAAAGTTGCAAGCGTTGCCTGAAGCACCTGTACGAAGGACCAGCCGGGGGATCCGCGATGACCTGCCAAAGGATGAACCACTTGTGCAGGAACACGCCCATGGTGGTGGTGGGGATACGCGAAGCGTCAAGAATTTGGTATCACTACCGCCGGGGAACGAGTCGAACAACCGGGAAACGAGTCGTTCAGCCGGGGAACGAGTCGCTCGTGGCCGAAGCGCCCGTTGTGAATGAATTGATGGGCCGATTTTGCACCACGAGTATACTGGAGGTAGGAGAGGGAGGAGGAGGAGGAGGAGGAGGAGGAGGAGGAGGAGGAGGAAGAAGAAGAAGAAGACTCGGCATTGCGCTGCATGTCAGATGTTTCATGCCTGATGCTGCATATACAACAATACAACATAGCACCTCTGACAGTCGTTCGAGCGAATATCGAGCGAGGTCAGGGTAAAGCGCACCGTGCAGCCTTGCATTCGAACGAGTGCGAGACCGATCGCAACTAGGTCAACCCCTGCGAACGGGAGGCGACAAACCTCTCGGGCTCCACGGGAGCCGAGCCTCCAGGACGGCAGGCCCCAGGCGGGCCCCTGGAGCGCCCGAGCTCTCCCGAATGACAAAGGGCCGACCCTCAAAGGCACACCTGACCTCAAGAGGAGGGAGGAGGGAGGGCGGCAGCTGGGCGGTGCCTCGAAGTACAGCGAGGCGGGCGTCAGGATGTTCAGGAGAGGGAGAAGACAAGGTACAAGAAAGGGAGCACGATCGAGGTCTGAGAGTGGCCCAATCCATGTTGTGGTATGCATAGCACAGACCACCAGACCATTACGTCCCTCATACTCAATAGTTCCACAGGATACTTCGCAATCATTACCAAGATAAGCCTGCGTAATACTCGTTACCAGAACAAATGCACAGTAAGACCCATAGAGAGAATACATGAGGGGGGGCACGCTCCGTCGCCATTAAGGGATCGTGCCCACCCGTAGGGGCGCTACGGGTCCCCCCCTCGAGGATAGCAAGCCATTGAAGTCCATGAGGCAACGAACTCAGATATGGAATAGCAGCACACATACGGGGCGACACTCGAGGCAGCAAAACCTGACCCGCGCCCCGCCGCTAAAGGGGGCTGGGGCGAGCACGCTCCAACCCGAGCCCCCCAGGACGGGACGTCACGCCAGTGGCGACGTAAGCACCTCCACGTGGGAGGGCGCGTTCTGACAAGAGCATCGCGTCGAAGGGGTTACCGATCGGAGGAGGAGGAGGAGGAGGAGGAGGAGGAAGCGGAGGAGGAGGAGGAGAAGGAAGAGGAGGAGGAGGAGCAGGAGGAGGCGGAGGCGGAGGCGGAGGCGGAGGCGGAGGAGGAGGAGGAGGAGGAGGAGGAGGAGGAGGAGGACCTCCCCGTCCTCCCTCCCCCCCCGTCCTGCAGGTGGCAGCGGTGGTGGACCATTGGCCCATCAGAACTTGCCACGCCAGGCTCTCCGTAGGGGCAGCTCGGGGGCCCGCGCCTCAAGAAAAACACCCGCGGCGCCGGACGCCTGGGGGGGGGGGGGCGCTCGGAGGCCGCGCCGCGCCGGCGCCACGCCGCGCCGCGCCACCGCCGCGGGTGGCCACCGCCACCGCCGCCCCTCCCCAAACCCGAAGTCGGGCCTGTCCCTCTACAGGAGGAAGATTGAGAAATAGTGTAAAAAGGTCGGGGGACGCTTCGCTTCAGTATTTTCTGCGGTTTGTTTTGGGTATTGCTTGACTTTTCTGCGTTCGTCCAAAATCCGCCTGTCTACACCCTGCGATATGCTTAAGAAATCATGGGTTAAGAAATTCATAGTCTCAGAACTTGACTAAAAACTCAACATTTCCATTCAAATCTTAGGATTTACATTGAAACATTAAGAATAATCGAGACTCTGGCCGAAAACTTAAGTGTTCTTAAGCATCGCCTAGGGTGTAGGGGGACATGCCCGACCTAACCCAAACCCTCCGATCGCGCTGTGCAAAAACGGCGGAAGGCTCTCCGCCACCTGCGGCCTCCGTGGGCCCTGACCGGGCCTCGGGGCCACCCAAAAAACCCTGAGGTCCTGGCGCCGCACTTTTTTCACAACAGGCGCCTTCGCTCCATTTCGGGCCCCGGGCGAGACCCTCAAACCTCAAAGATCGATGCGGCTCGAAAAATGACGCAGAACGACCATGTCCGGCGCTCTGGTCGTGATGTTTTGCGCTGTTGCAAGTTTTCTGCAACGGCGGATCTCAGGGAACGATGGCTTCTTGATGGTCCGATCCCATTCCCCGGGGCTGGCTTTTCATCCTGAGTCGACTCAAGGTGAAAAGCTGGTCCTGGGGGAACAGCCGGTCCCGGGGTCGCGTCGAGGAAAACTCCTGGCGTCGGGGATGTCGGGATCTGGACTCCAGCACCGGCGGCCGCGGCCGCAGCCGCGGGAGCGCTGATAGACGAAGCCAGGGCGAGGACAAATTCGGGTGAGGATTGATGATGGGCCTGCTTTCCACAACCACCACCACCATAAGTTGGAGGGGCACGGGGTCCTCCTCCTCCTCCTCCTCCTCCTCCTCCTCCTCCTTCTCCTACTCCTCCTCGTACTCCTCGTCGTCCTCCTTCCCCCCCTCCAACTTGTGGTGGTGGTGGTGGTGGTGGTGGAAAACAGGCACATCAATTGATCGAGAATCCCTGAGGCCGGGAGGCTCTCCCTGAGGTCCTGGCGTTGCGATTTCTTCACCACGGGCGTCTTCGCTCCATGCCGGGCCCCGCGGATCGATCCGGCTCGAAAAACGGCGTGGGAAGATGGGGCCTCGGGCTCCGGTCGTGATTGTTTGCGAGGTTGCAATGTCTCGGGAGCGGGGAATCTCAGGGCTGGAGGATGCATCGAGCGCCGCGGCCCTCTCAGAGCGTTCCAGGCCGCTCTGAGGGCGTTCCGGAACGCCCTGGACCGGATTTATCCCTGTCCCACTCGGATCACCACGGTGATTGCTAAACGGGCAGGGGTCTTAAAGTGGATGACAAGGTGTCTTATATCAGGCCTGGACTTTTAAGTGATTCACAAGTGCTCTACGTCGACGTGGCTTGAGTGGGTTCGACAACTCTGCTGAAAGGGCGGAGCCCACTGAGCCCGGATCCTTACCCCCGCTGGGCCACGTGAGGCACTTGTACCCACTCACCAGCTGGGTTTGGCCGTCTATAAGCCGCCTTGGTATCCGCTTGTAACCCCGTCCCAGACATGCGACCTCCGAATTGTTTCAGGACGGCGTCCCCGGAAGTCTGGACCCTTTCCCCGGGACTGGCCCGACCTACCGCTTGCTTCATCCCAAACCCCCGACGTCATGATTTTTTCATGACGCGCCCCCCAGAGGGCTGGACCCGTTCGCCGGGAACGGTTTCTCAACCCGAGTCATTGTTTGACGGTCCCGAGGGCCGGCGAGGGACCCCAGAGGCCAAACATAGCGACAACAACGCCCGCCCTACTTTTGTCATGACTCTCGAGGGGGGCAGGGTCATTGTCCGCTTGTAAGCCCATATGCGCTTAGCAACCACCGCGGCGAGTCCAGCCAGTATGGCCCCGCCCGAAGCGTGATGTCGGGCGTGTCCCCCTATACAGGGGGATTTTCGACGAAAGATAAAAGATACCCCAAACATGCCCCCAAAAGGTCAAACAATATTCAAACAATAGTCCCCAGACTATTTTTGGATTCTTTTTTGATTGTGTTTGGGGTATCTTTTATTTTTCGTCGAGGGGGACAGGCCCGACTTAACCGAAGCGCGGCGGCGCCCCGCTGCAGCGTCGGAGTCGGAGCCTACCGGCCCTGCCGGCACAGCCGCTGCAGCTCGGCCACGATGCGGCGCCGCAGGCCGTCGCCGTAGGCGGGCCACACGGCCGGGTGCCAGGAGAAGAAGCGCCGCAGCTGCGCCTCGCGGGGGGGTGGAGGGCCAGACATGATCGCGTCGTGAAAAAATCGGGACGGACGGTTTTTCACTATCTTCGGGCCCTGGGGGCCCTCCCTGGGCCTCGGGAGCGTCAAAAAACGACTCAGGATGAAAAGCCGGTCCTGGGGAAATGGTCCGGACTTCCAGGGACGCCGTCCCGAAAAAATCATTATGTCACATGTCTGGGCTCAGACCCCCTGGAAGGCGCGAACAAAAATCACGGCAAGGAGTCTCTCGCTGTTTTCGGCCTCTGTGGGTTCCCTTGCCGGCCCTCGAGGCCGTCTAAAAACGACTCGGGACGAAAAAGCGATCCTGGGGAATGGGTCCGGACCTCTGGAGGTCGCGTCAGGCAAAAGTGATGACGTCGGGGTTTGGGAGCAGATGGGGTCGGAGGATCGCACTGGATCGCCGATGAGCTGCCGATGCATCGGGGATGAATCGGCGACGTCGGCGGTGCTTCGGCGACCCCAGCGCGAAGAAAATCGGGATCCACATCGACCCGCATCAGCGATGCATCGGCGATGCGGCGCGATCCTTCGACCCCGTCCACTCGGAGGGCGGAGGCGAGGGAGGGAGGGGGGAGAGCGGCGGAGGGGGGAGAGGGAGGGGGGAGGGGGGAGGGGGGAGGGGGGAGGCGCCGGGGGGGGAGAGCGGCGGAGGGGCGGAGGCGAAGGGGGGAGGGGGGACGGAGAGGAGCAGAATGATCGGGGAGGGGGTGGAGGTGGACTGGGGGGGAAGGGTCAGGAGGGGAAAGTCGTGCATGACTCAACTGCGAAGACTGGATACAGTGGGGGCTTTTTATCTATGTGGGCGCCGAGCGGGCTCGGCGGTTTCATGCATAAATTCTCCGATCAGCGCACGGCGAGCCCCGCCGCGCGGCGTGCGCGGGCGGCCGCCGACCCCGCGGCTCTCTCGCGCCCGCGGGCCGCCGCAGCAACTGCGAAGCCGCGGGCGCAGAGGACGCCCTCGAGCCCTGGGCGGACCTGCCGCGGCTCTTCGGCCTCTGCCCGCGGGGCCGCCGCGACCAAGCGCCGCGGCGCCGCGGCGCGCGGCGGCGCTGCCGCCTGGCCCCCATCGCCAGCCGCAGGTGGCGGGGGCGGGGCGGCCGCAGGCTGCCGCTGCGATGGCACGGGCGCCGCCGCGAGCGCCTGCTCCTCCACCCCGTGGCCCAGCCTGGCCTGGAGTGCCGTCGCCCAGCACAGGCGCGCGCTCTCCATCGGCGGGGCCAGCGGCGCGAACGGATCCTTGGACGCAGGCAGGGTGCCCCGTGCGATGTCCGTCCGCGCCTGGGCTCGGGAGCCCCCCGGGGACGTGGGCTGCCCAGCCGCCGCGCTGGCCCCGCACGGCATGGCCAGGCCGCGATGCGCGCACCCGGGGAGGCGGAAGTACCCCCAGCACGCTGAGCATACCAGGGGGGGCTCGGAGCCGTTGCCCTCGACGCGCGACCCCCGTATGAGGCGGCCGTAGACCCTCAATCCCGCTGGACGGGCCGCATCCGCCGCCACCTCAGGGGCTGGGCCGCTGCAAGCCGCCGCTGCCGCCGCCCGCCGCGGGCTGGGCGCGGGCGCCGAGGCCTCGCGGCGCCTCGACTGCTCCTGCACCCTGCGCTGGGGTGCTCGGCGCAGCACCTCCGCGGGCCTATCGGCCGAGGCGGGGCGGCGCCTCGCGGGCGACGGCCGCGAGCAGGAAGCGGCCGCTGCCGCCGCTGCTGCCAGGGCCGCCGCCGTGGCGAGGAGGGGGCCGCCGACAGCCGCCGCGGCCTGCGCCTCGCCGTCGCCAACGTCAGCCTCCGCGACGGGGATCTGCATGTTGCCAGCCGCTGACACGACAGGCCCGCGCACCTCCGCGTCGTGCAACTTCCCGAACTCGCCGCGCCCCTGGGACTGCGACTTCGGTGGGCTGAATCCACCTGTCCCAGGGGCGGGCTCCGCCGCGGCGGCGTGCAGGAAGTCGACCTCGCCGTCGAACTCTGCCACCAACTCGGCAGCTCGCAGCAAGTCAGCGGGGCTGCGACCTTGCCTCCAGCCCCCCCAGGCAGGGCACCTGTGGTGGCGGCGGGCCAGGGTCCCGCTCTCCTCGCCGCGGAGCTGGCACAGAGTCGCAGGCCTGGCGTCGTACTCCTGGACCGCTGCCTCCTTCCTGTCCTTCTCCTTGGCCTTCTCCGCAAAGAGGGCGGAGGAGTACCGCAGGGCGAAGCAGCAGCCGAACTCGTCCTGCTGGTAGTCGCCGTCGCCGTGGAGGCCCCTGCGTGACGCCAACGCTCTTTCGATCGCCCGCAGGAAGGCCTGCCCTTGCACAGTGGGCACCTGGGTCACCTCTTTCAGCGAGACGAGCTTCTTGTCTTCGAACGCGGTGCTGCCCGCCTGCTCGAACTTGCGCCCCAAGCTCCTGGCCACCTGCACCAGGTGCTTCATGTAGCCTACGTGCCCCACAGGGGGTGAGCAGCCCGCATCAGCCGCTCTGAGCTGTCTGGCGATCCTCCCGAGGCGGAGGCGGCAACTGGTGAGGGGGCCGAGCTTCCTGACCGCCTTCCTGCGCTGCTGGTCCGCCAGCTTCTTCTTGACAGAGCGGGGTCCTTTGGCCCTGCCCTGGTACCACTCACCCTCGGAGATGCCGAACTGGTCGGTCAGGTGGAGCTCCGCGGTCTCGACGGACTCCTTGAGCCTCCTGAACGGGAGCTCGAGGTAGGCGCTGACCTCCGTGACCGCGAGATCACCGAAGGCCACCCTTCGGGCCAGGATGCGGGCACTGTGCTGGTGCCCGTCGTGGTCGGTCGCCGCCACGCCCCAGGTCGTTGACTCCAGCACTCCGACGCCCTCCGAGCCCGCCTGCGCCGCCTGCCCCGTGCTGTGGACGCTGCCGAAGGCGGCGCTGAAGCTGTTGCTCCTGGCCCAGCAGCAGGCGTTGGCCGCCTTCTGGCTATAAGCGCATCGCCTCTCCTGCGCCAGGATGACGTCGTCACCTCCTCCATCCTGGATCCGCTCCATCTCCACCTTCTTCTCTGACCAGGTCGAGACGTTCAGCGTGACGAAGCTAGTTGGCTTCGGTCCCGTAGGCCTGATTTGCTTGGCCAGCTGGAGGGGCTTGGCCTGCGGTCGCCCAGGCTGAGGCTGGGCCGCAGGCTGTTCGGTTGCCACGGCGGCCGCGGGGCCGCCAGGCGGGCGGCTGCTCGCCGCCTTGGGGCTCCGAACCTCAGGGGGTCTCACGCCCTCGCCCGTAGCCTCGTCAACTGGAATTGGGTACCCACCATGGCATGTGGGCCCCTGGCTAGGCTGAGGACTGCCAGTCCTTCGGTCTGGGCCAGTCAAGCCAGCCGCAGCGCTTGGCTCTGTCCTGCTGCTGAGCGCCTCGAACTTGGTGTCGTGGCGCACGACGCCGAAGCGCCGTTCCCGGCGCAGCAGCGGCACAATGAAGGGAAGTTCGACCCAGGCGTCGGTCGCCACGTTGGCCGCCTTGTAGGCGGGCAGGCCGCCACCCGGCGCCGCCGCCGCCTCTGAGCGGCTGGGCGCCGCCGCCTCAGTCCCCTCAGCCCCAGCAGGGGCGGGCGGCGCCGCGCTGTCGGGGCCGCCGCCTGGCAGCAGGGTGCTACGCGCGGGCCAGGCCGCTGCCAGCAGCAGCGCCAGCAGGAGGTGGAGGGGCCGCCGCAGCGGCCTTCTGGTCGGCAGCGCGCTGGCGGGCCGCCTCGTCTGCCGCTCGGCTCTCCATCGCTGCCGCTGGGGGGGTCCCAGCTCCAGGCGCCGCGTCTGCGGCGGGGGCGGCGGGGGCAGCAGGGGCGGCCGCCTGCCCTGCAGGCTGCGGCGGGGCGCCCGCGCCCTGCACGGGGGTGCCAGGGGCCACGGCTGCTGCAGGCCCCTCCTCGGTGCGCTTGCGCTTCTTGGCCACCTCCTCCGCGATCTGGCGCTTGATGCGCTGCTGGTGCTCCTGGCAGTTGCGCTCGAACGTAGCCTGCGCGCCCTGCATGATCTGGAGCCCCTCATCGCAGAGGCGCCTGAGGGCGGCCTGCGCCTCCTCCTCCAGCTCGGCGAAGTTGTCAAACGACTCCGCGTCAAAGTTGAAGGTGAGCTGCCTCGCGCCGTCGGGCTGGGCTCCCACGACGCCCGCCGCTTGGGCACGCTGGCGCAGGAGGGCGTTCTCCTCCTCCTTGGCCTCCGCGAGGCTGCCCGCAGCCTCGTCACGCCAGCCGCGGCATTCAGCGAGGTGGTCCTCCGCCGCCACGAGCGCGTCCGCCGCCTCATCCAGCTGGCGCTGGAGGTTGATCCGCTTCGCTGTGGCCGACTCCAGACGTTGCTCGAGCGGCTTCGGCACTGGGGCGACCGCGGGCGCGACATAGCTCCGCGTTTCGCGGACCGCCTCCTGCAGCCTGGCTGCGATGGCTGGGTCCCCACAGGCGAGGAGCGCGTCGAGCTCGCTCTCGGGCAGGGCCGACCAGGGGGCCCTCGGGAAGGCGCCTCCGCCACGGCAGCCCGCGCCACCCCCGCCGCCGCCACGGGAGACTGCACCGCCGCCACCACGGTAGGCTGCACCGCGGCCCTTGCCGCCCTTGCCGTCCTTGGCTCCATTCTTCGGTGGGCCTCCGCCGCCGCCGCCGCGATGTGCGAGTTGGGGTCCGCCGCCGCCACCGTCCGCCCAGACCCCAACGCGGGGCGAAGGCTTCGAGGGCGCCAGCTCCAGCCCGATCCCGCACAGCCAGCACTTCGCGTTCGAGCGGAAGTTCCAGCGGTACCGGCAGCCCGTGCACACGACGAAGCCAGGCACGGCCTTAGGCCCCATCGCTGGTACGGTCGGGCGCGCTGCTCAGCTGCGGGCAAGCAGCAGGCAGGAGACGGCGGGGGCGGACCCGCCGACTCAGAAGAAGACTTGACCCGCAGGTCCTGGAAGGTGCTGCTGTGGCAGCTGACACACTTAGGAAAGGAAGGTGGCCTCAAAGCGGAACCTCCCTCGCGCTCAGAAGTCGCCCCGAAAGACTCGCGGTCGTCGGGACGGTTCATGGCCTTGAGCCAAAATGGCTACGGAACTACAGTGGCGGCTTTGGATAAGGAAACCTTCGATAAGGAACCCAGGGTGTGGAAGCCGCTGGAACTCCAATCGTGGATCGGTGATGGATATCATCGCCGCCCTCATCAGATAAGGAAGCCTCCAGGGTCTGCAGCCTCCTGTGCACATTCCTTATCGAACGCCCCCACCATAGTACAAGGTTGCGTGCGAGCACGAGGAGCGGGAAGAGGAGCAGTGGGAGGGGAGGGGGAGAAGGTGGAAGAGCATGACGATGGGGAGGAGGAGAGGGAGGAGGACGAGAAGACTTGGGAGGAGGAGCGCTGGAGCGGCTCCTCGCTGATGGCGCTCTCCATCATCATCCTGTCGTACTCAGCCGGATCCATCAGAGCATGTACCACACGCTCCGCGACCTCCTTCAATCAGGCCAATCAACCATACACATACTCGGGCTCTGACCAGGCCAACCGTTGGAGTGGGATCGGGGATACACCTGCCCTTCGAAGTCAGGAAGGCGAATCCACTGACACAGGGCCGAGGGTTGTCCTGGCCAGGATCGTTGCAAGTGGGACGAACCCCGGCTCCTGGTCATTCTGTCCAGGCTTGAGGAGCAGGTAGCTCCTGGGGTCGATGACATCTGGCGCCTGGTCGCACCCCGCGTAAACCGGGATCGCGCCCGCGAGCAATGAGTCCATCACCTTCTCAGTTATGTAGCCCACGCTGTTCAGGGTGTTCTCCAGAGACACGACGAACCTGAAGTGGGAGTACTTCACGGCAGACTCGTCGTATTTCGTGAATGTGAACTCAGCTCCGGAGAAGGTCATCTTGCCCTTCCACAAGCCCACGGAGATGTTTCCAAACACCCTCTCCAGAAACTCGGGCATCCCCCTGCTCAGGCTGCTCGGGGGCTGATTGATATGAGCACCCTTCGACCGAATAGCGTGTGAATTGATCACAGTACGCAGTTGCAGACTGCGCACTGCCGGGGAGGGAGGGAGGGAGGGAGGGGGAGGGAGAGATGTACAGAAAGGTAACAAGCAGAAAGAGAACATACGGAGGCGGATGAAAAGGACGACAAGTGGGAGTGAGACGAGGAGGCGGGACTCGGGACTGAGCGGGACAAGGTCAACGGGAAGGATCCAAGACAATCGGGGATCGACTGACCCCTACCTGATGAAGCACAATCCCGAATGCTACCAGAACCTGCACTTGACCCTAAACACTGAGACAAGGGATGCAAGCCGCGTGGCCGAGTAGTTGGACATTACCCCGGCGCAGGCATACGACAGGTGGCCTCACCAACAATGCCCACATCATATCTGCCGACGTCGACTGGTCCCTCGTGGCCAAATCGGCTCTGACGACCCGTGGCGCGCTTTGAGAAGAGGCCCCCCCTCTCGTCCACATGCTATGCCCATGTTGGGCACACGCCATATCTCCGGCCGGCCTCCGAGCATCCAGGCTCGCCTTGTTGTAGACGGGCGTCAGCAGCTGGCCCAGATGCTTCTCCCCGTTGCACTGGCCGATGGCGTAGCCGCCGTGGCCGCCCTGCTTGGCCAGCAGCTCGTTGACTCGGTCCCAGAACCTCTCCCGGTAGTTCCGCCAGCCGCTCCGGTTGGCCTCGGCGTCGCGGTGCTTGTTGGTGGCACAGGACCTCTGCTGGTACGCGATCGTGCCCTGCCCCTCCCCCAGGCCCGCCCCTTTCCACGTGCGGATGTACTTCTGGAGGCGGCCGGCGCTCCTTCTCCTGTCCAGGAGGTCGAGCGGCGTCGACAGTTTCCTGTCGGCGAAGACCGTGCTGGCGAAGGGCACCCACAGCGAGGCCAGGTCCTCCGCGACGAGCTCCTGGGTTGTATCGTTCCACCAGTTGCCCAATATGACGGCCTTGTCAACATAGATGTGCTTCAGCTTGCTCCGCACCAGGTCGTTGGTGGGGTACTCCTGGTTGATCAGAAGCCAGACCCGGGAATTGTTCCCTGAGCTCCGCCTCCTGAGCTTCTCCTCCGCAACTTTCAGCGTGGGAATGGACACGACCCAGCCGGTCAGCACGAAGATGTCGCAGTCCCCGCCCTCCGGCAGCAGGTCGTCCGGCAGATCCTGGAGGAGCAGGTGCCCCAGCATGTTCTGCCCGGGCCACGGCCCCCCCCCGTCCACCAGGTTGTACCTGAACCTTGGGGCCCAGACCCCCTCGCGTCGTGAGCAACATCACGAGGGGAGGCTTTGCTATATTTTCGGCCCCTGGGGGCCCTTACCGGCCCTCGGGACCGTCAAACAACGATTCGGGTTGAGAAACCGTTCCCGGCGAACGGGTCCGGAAAAAAAAAAATGACGTCGGGGGGTTGGGATGAAGCAAGCGGTAGGTCGGGCGTGTGCCGCTACAGGGGGATGTTGGACGAAAAATAGAAAATACTCAAACAAGATGTCAAACTATTCCAAAGTAGTCCGAAACTCGTCCCCAGATTATTCTTTGGGCAATTTTTGAAGATCCCTCCTGTAGGGAGACAGGTCCGACTTAAAGTAAGCGGGCCCTGAGGGAAATCGGTCCTGGACCCCTGGGTCTTCCCCAGGCCCTCTGGACCAGCCTTTCGTGAAGGGGCCCCAGGACACACAAATAAATACACACAAATAAAATGATCACCCATATTTTTCCATATTTTCTGGGTTTCTGTCTTCCCCCCCACTTCCCATATTTTCCTATATTTTCCTGGGGATCGTCGATTAATTGTGTCTGTGTGTTTTCTTCCCTCTTGATTTCGTTCCGAGTCGCGCTCGGGCACTGCCGGCGCCCGTGGAGAGCCCTGGAGGGTCAAAAAACCGGAGAAGAAAGCCTGCGGACCTGTTTTATAGGGAAACGGATGCTGACATAAACACTTAGAACTCGGAGATCCGCGCGGATTTCTCGGATTCGCGCGGGCCCCAACCTCCCTGGAGTGCGGAGCGCGCCAGGGGCGGCGCCGGAGGCGCCGCCAGGGGGCCCCAGCGCGGATCCGAGAAGTCCACGCGGAGCTCCGAGTTTTTATTCCCAACCCTCCTTGTGTTGGGTACTCGTTTTGAATAGAGCACTGTGGTATCCACCTCCCGCCCTCTCCTCCTTCTTCTCTCCTGTGTTCGCGGTGCCCTGCGGGGCTGCGGTCTGCGGAACTGTCGCCACTTTCGTGGGTTCCTGGGAGGCCCAGCGGAGGTACGTCCTACGCAGACCACTTTGAGGCCTCCCCGTCCCCTGCGGGGCTGCGATCTGTGCAACTGTCGCCACTTTCGTGGGTTCCTGGGAGGCCCAGCGGAGGTACGTCCTACGCAAACCACTTTGAGGCCTCCCTGTCCCCTGCGGGGCTGCGATCTGCGCAACAGTCGCAACTTTCCTGGGTTCCTGGGGGACCCAGCGGAGGTACGTCCTACGCAGACCACTGTGAGGCCTCCCTGTCCCCTGCGGGGCTGCGATCTGCACAACAGTCGCAACTTTCCTGGGTTCCTGGGAGGCCGAGCGGAGGTACGTCCTACGCAGACCACTGTGAGGCCCCCCTGTCCCCTGCGGAGCTGCGATCTGCGCAACTGTCGCCACTTTCGTGGGTTCCTGGGAGGCCCAGCGGAGGTACGCCCTACGCAGACCATTTTGAGGCCTCCCTGTCACCTGCGGGACTGCGATTTGCGCAACTGTCGCCACTTTCGTGGGTTCCTGGGAGGCCCAGCGGAGGTGCGTCCTACGCAGACCACTTTGAGGCCTCCCTGTCCCCTTGGCGCACCTGGCGCGCACCTGGCGCGCACCTGGCGCGCACCTGGCGCGCACCTGGCGCGCACCTGACGCACCTGACGCGCTGGGCGCGCACCTGGCGCGCACCTGGCGCACCTGACGCACCTGACGCACCTGGCGCACCTGGCGCACCTGGCGCACCTGGCGCACCTGGCGCACCTGGCGCGCACCTAGCGCGCACCTGGCGCGCACCTGGCGCGCACCTGGCGCGCACCTGGCGCGCACCTGGCGCGCACCTGGCGCGCACCTGGCGCGCTGGGCGCACCTGACGCACCTGACGCGCTGGGCGCACCTGGCGCGCACCTGGCGCGCACCTGGCGCACCTGACGCACCTGCCGCACCTGGCGCACCTGGCGCGCCTGGCGCGCTTGGCGCGCCTGGTGCAACTGGCGCACTTGGCGCGCCTGGCGCAGACCTGGCGCACACCTGGCACACCTGGTGCATCTGGCGCACCTGGGGCGCTGGGCGCACCTGGCGCACCTGCCACACCTAGCGCAGACCTGGCGCACCTGGCGCGCCTGTCGCACCCGGCGCACCTGGCGCACCTGGCGCACGTGTCGCACCTGGCGCACATGGCGCACCTGGCTCACTTGGCGCGCCTGGCGCAACTGGCGCACCTGGCACACCTGGCGCAACTGGCGCACCTGGCGCACCTGGAGCGCACCTGGCGCACACGTGGCGCACACTTGGCGCAACTGGCGCACCTGGCGCGCGCCTGGCGCGCACCTGGCGCGCACCTGGCGCGCACCTGACGCGCTGGGCGCACCTGGCGCACCTGGCGCGCTGCGCGCACCTGGTGCACCTGGCGCGCTGGGCGCACCTGACGCAGCTGGCACACCCGGCGCACCTGGCGCACCTGGCGCACCTGGCGCGCATGGCGCAACTGGCGCGCACCTGGCGCAACTGGCGCACCTGGCGCACCTGGCGCGCCTGGCGCGCACCTGGCGCACACCTGGCGCACCTGGCGCACCTTGCGCAGATGGAGCACCTGGCGCACCTGGCACACTTGGCGCACCTGGCGCGCCTGGCGCACCTGGCGCGCTAGGCGCACCTGGCGCACACCTGGCGCACACTTGGCGCACCTGGCTCACTTGGCGCGCCTGGCGCACCTGGCGCACCTGGCGCGCCTGGCGCGCCTGGCGCACCTGGCGTACCTGGCGCAGCTGGCGCACCTGGCACACATGGCGCGCTGGGCACACCTGGCGCACCTGGCACACCGGGCGCACACCTGGCGCACACCTGGCGCACACCTGGCGCACACTTGGCGCACCTGGCGCACACTTGGCGCACCTGGCGCACCTGGCGCGCCTGGCGCGTCTGGCGCACCTGGCGCACCTGGCGCACCTGGCGCACCGGGCGCACCCGGCGCACCTGGCGCACCTGGCGCACCTGGCGCACCTGGCGCACCTGGCGCGCCTGGCGCGCCTGGCGCGCTTGGCTCACCTGGCGCGCATGGGCTTCTGGGAGGCTCAGCGGAGGTACGTCCTACGCAGATCACCACTATACCATGGCGCCGGAATGTCCTTCGGTATTGCGTGATCCTGAATGCAATTCTCACTTGGGTAGAAGTGTAGAAAGGGTTGGGTACGTCGCACGATCATGTTTGTGTCATTCTCCGTTCCCCTGATGAAGCAGAACAGCAGTATTTGTTCCCCGGTCTTGACCCTCCAGGGCTCTCCACGGGCGCCAGCAGTGCGCCCGAGACTTTCTGTTGATGTCTTTCTTCGCTCCCCGACGTTGGCTTCATGGCGGGCACCGCTGCCGCGCCCCCTCCCGGCCAGCGGGCCCGTGCGGGCCCCCCGCGCCCGCCCCGCCGGCCGCCGCCGCCGCGCCCGCGCCCGCCGCCGCGCCGCGCTCCGCGGGCGCCCCGCCGCCGCCGACCTCGGGGCGGCGAGGCGCACTGGCATCGGCACTCCGGGTTAACTTCCAGTCGAGGCGTTGACCGAAGGGACCTTAAAGCAAGAACGAGGTCCCCTTCTCCATAAGTTGTTCCATGTAAGGAAAACCTAAGGAAAAAGGTGTGGGGGCAATTAAGGCACACCGAGCCCCTCCCCAACGAAAAGGGTTCCGTTTTCAGCGCCCCGACTGTAATGAGCGTGGGGGGTACGCCCCGACGGTGGTGAACCTCGCATCGTCGTCGCGCCGCGGCGGGGGTCGGAGCGCCTTCGGCGCGCGGCGGCTGCCCGCAACGGGGGTCGATGTGTGGGGGGGGGGGGCTGTCGGCGGGGGTGACGCCCCCCGATGCTCATGAATAAACTCGGAGTATAAGCCAACCAAAGAAAGTTCTACGAACGTGCTGTGGTCAGCGCGAAGTGTTCTTAGAGCAGTTCTGGCTGAGACCGTCTTGTTTGTTGTAACACGTCGGGTCTACATTCTGAGGACACGGCTGTTGTCCTTAGAATATGTTGCTGGGTTCTGAGAACACGCCGTGGTAGGCCTAAAGAGTCATGCCGGGACGCTTCGCCCCTGCTCGACGACCGACCCAGCCTGCGGGCCCGCGCCGCCGCCGGCCCGCTCGCTCGGCTCCGCCGGCTCGGCCGGCGGAGCAGCTGCCGATTGGCCGCCGCCGCCGCCAGGCCGACGATCCTCGGCGCCGCTGCCGCTGCCGCTGCCGCCCCTCGGGGTGCCACCGGCTGACTCGGCCGCCAGCTCGGCCGTCGGGGCGGGATCGCCACCGCCGCCGCCGCCGCCGGGCGGGCGGCCTCCGGCGCCGCTGCCGCCGCCGCCGCCCCCAGCGGCGGCGGCGGCCTGATCCGACGCCGACGGCTCGGGCGGCGGAGCGCCGAGAGGCGGCGGCGGGTCGACGGCGTCGTCGGGGGAGCCCTGCGTCTTGGCTTCCTCCGCCCGCTCCATGGCCGCCTGCTCGGGGCTGGGCGGCGGGCGGAGGGGCGCCAGGCCGCCGTCCCCTGGCGGAGCGAGCGGCCTCCGCGAGTGGACGTGGCCCCAGGCGGCGTACATGTCGTCATTGCCCGGCGCGAGGAACCAGCTGGCAAGGAACGCCCCTGCGGACGCGAGGACCACCAGAATGAAGACCCAACGCCGCATCAGACGCGCGCAGGCGTCGCGGGCGCGGGGGGTCGGGCTCCCCTGGAGCCGAGGCGCGCAGGGGCGAGGGCGGCGCGGTCTGCCACCAAGGCCATGGAGGCCGGGCCCGTCATGGCGCGAGAGCGCCTGGCCAGGCCCAGCGGAGGTGGAGCATCTCAAATGCGACACGGAGTGCACGCCGAGCTGGAACTCGCGTGCTCGAGTGCGAACCTCCTCCTCCCTCCTCCTCCTCCTTCTCCCTCCTCCTCCTCCTCCTCCTCTTCCTCCTCCTCCTCTTCCTCCTCCTCCTACCTCCTCCTCCTCCTCCTCCTCCTCCTCCTCCTCTCCTCCTCCTCCCTCCTCCTCCTCCTCTTTCTCCTCCATCTCTCCTCCTCATGATTCTCTCCTCCTGCCCCTCCTCCTGCAACCCTCGTCTGCCCATGCATTGCACTCTTTCCCTCCCTCCATTCCCTCCCCCTCTCTCTTCCCTCCTCCCTCCCTCCCTCCCTCCCTCCCTCCCTCTCTCCCTACGAAGGAGGAGGAGGAGGAGGAGGAGGAGGGAGAGGAAGGAAATGAGGAGGAGCCGCAGTGAACCGCGGGAGAGGAGGAGGTGGAGGAGGAGGAGGAGGAGGAAAAGGAGGGAGTGGGGGGGAGAAGCAAGCAGGAAGAGGAAGGGAGGGAGGGAGAGCGCGGCGGGCGGAGGGAGCGCGGGGGAGTGGGAGGAGCGGAGGACGCAGGGTGGGGGAGGACGGCGAGGAGGAAGAGGCGGGCGCACGATGGGCCACGCCCCTCTCCGCCCTCCCCCCCCCCAGGTCCTCCGCCGCGCACTCCCTCTCTGGCACGCATGCCCCCTACCCTCCTGTACACGTCCTCGTTCTCGGTGCCGCTGTACGCGTAGTTCCAGCAGAACATCGTGAGGCCGCAGCGGTCGAGGTCCGCCACCTCTGCGGCCAACGCGCGCGCGCGAGCAAGGCCGCGGTGAGGAGGAGGAGGAGGAGGAGGAGGAGGAGGAGGAGGAGGAGGAGGAGGAGGAGGAGATGGAGGAGGCAGAGGATGAGGATGAGAGATGAGGATGAGGTGAGGATGAGGATGAATGATGATGATGATGATGATGATGATGATGATGATTATGATATGATGATGATGATGAGGAGGAGAGGAGGAGGAGGAGGAGAGGAGGAAGAAGAGGAGGGGAGGAGGGGGACCGCTGCCGAGCGGGGGGCGGCGGGGGGGGGCGGCACACACACCGCGGGCCAAGGCGAGTACTAGCGGCACTCCCGGGGCCACGGCGCGGCACAGCTCCCAGAGGGTTGGGGGGGGGCAGGAGGAGACGGGAGGCAAGGGGAGGAGATCCAGACATGAGCGCGTCGTGGAAAAATCACGACGGGCGGTGTTGCATTATTTTCTTCGGGCCCTAGGGGGCCCTCGCTGGACCTCGGGAGCGTCAAAAAACGACTCAGGATGAAAAGGCGGTCCTGGCGTGCGGCGGCTTCGTGCATCTGCACCGTTGCTGCCTCAGCAGCTGCAGCTCCTGCCACTGATCCCCCTTGGTAGGCGACACGCCAGTGAGCTTCCCACTGAATCAGACAACGTGCACTTCTTATGATGCACTCCCCGTGTGTAAACGGATGCTGCACCACAGGCCCACATTCGCGCTCGCGCGCGCCCATCCTGGGGAAAGGGACGCCGCCCTGAAAAAAACAGAACGTCGCATGTCTGGGGGGGGAAGGGAGGATGAGGAGTGAGGAGGTGGAATTGGAGGAGGGCGGAAAAGGCAGGGATGAGCATGAACATGAGGATGAGGGGGAAGGGGGCAGGACGGAAGAGTGACCCAGCCGCGGGAGGAGGAGGGAGGAGGTGCAGGAAGGGGGGAAGGAAACGCTGTGGCGCTCGGCGGCGGATAGGGGGCCCCGTGGTATGAAAGCACAGCAGCGGGTCCCGCACACCTGCAGGAAGCTGGCAGGGCGGAAAATAGCAAACAACGTGCGAAGTGAGTGTTTGTTGGTTTGTCTGGCCTCCGACTCTCCAAGGAGACACACGCTGCGGCGAACATCCTGTGCCTCACCACCGGCCAGGCCTGCGAAGCAGTGGAAGAACGCCTGCTGCGCGGCAAGATGATCCACCGGGACTTTGCCGCGACACATGCGGCTGGGCTCCTCCCGTCTCCATAGCTCCTCCCCCTTCAACTTCAGCGTGCACACCACACACATACAGACGCACACACCTTATCCCGCTCCCCCCTTCCGTCTCCCAAACCTTTCTCCCTTTCTAGGAGTATCCTCCTCGTCGTCACCTACCAGAAACGTGTCGGTAGGGCTGTCCGAGCGGTCCACCTCGCACCACTGACGATACCGAAGACTTCCTAGCAACTGCAAGGATTGGAGCCAGGTCGTTTCCAAACGTGGTTCTCGCATGAGCGGCGCGCACAATTGTGGTGCAAGTTGCCATAGTCACTAGGGTGCATGGCCGTTGCGAACATCTCGCCCTAGCATATTGTACGTTCGTCTGAAAAGTTTCCAGCAGACACAGGGTTGGACAGCGGGTCCTTTTCAAAGTGGGGCTCTTGCTTTGGAGCCCCTTCAGAAGGTACGACCAGGAACGCAACACTGAGCACCGACTATAAGGATGCAGGACGGTTCCTGAAATGTGGCTCTCGCTGGGCACTTCTTCACAGGAACCCAGTGGAGTCGCTTGCGCCGCAAATAGTCCAAGGTCCCCAAGACGCCCGTGAGAGGGAGAGCCCTAGGGGAGATAGGGCCCCAGCCAGGCCCGAGGACCGGGGCGAGTGCTTCTGAGCAGAGGACGGAATCACCAGTCCTGGCTTTACCCGGCGCATCTCCTGGCGGGGCTGGAAAATTGCAGTGCTAAAGGCAAATGCTCGCCGCTATCTGCTACCTCCTGGATCTCTATGGTCCAGCCGCCCGCGAGAGCGAAAGGTCTGCACTGCCCACGGACGTAGCCTGCTACTTCTGCTAGGAGGGTAGTGCCCCCCCCCTGCAAGCCAAGCCCAGTGACCAGGTACTGTGTAACAGGCGCCGCGTCGATGCTTCTCGCGCGAACTCTCCGACTCGCTCCTTGAAAGCCCAGGCACGTGGCGCGCTCGCCGTGGACAACTCTCTTGATCTCTGGGAACGGTTGAGCCGTGCTGGAGCCGCTCCCTCGACATGGCCCACGCGCCGCCATGGAAGCATCCACGGGGTGCCCAATGGTAGAGGAAAGAGAACTATGCACATACACCGATTCTGGCCAGGCCCATCCTCAGCCCAGGATCGGTGCATACGCCCTCCTACCTTGGCCAGGAAGGCATATGCACCGATCCTGGGTCAAGGATGGGCCTTGCCAGGATCGGTGCATGTGCATAGTTCTCTTCGCCCAATGGTGCCTCTGAAATTGCCGACCAGCCACGCTTGCCTGCTCGCTTGATCGCCTGGCTGTGCTGCGGGCCGCGCACGTGGTGCTCAGCTACGAGGACGGTGACCACGTTGACGAGATCGCTCGGCTCCTGGTTCAGGCAATCCCAGGCCCCAGCCCCCATGGCGTGGTGCCATGGTGCTGGTTATTTCCAGAATCCTTACCGGGCTTCACTGCCTTGTGATAGTTCCGACGCGCGGCTGCTTGTGAGTGACCAAATGGCGGAGGCTGCGCTGGATGCCTAGAGTCCGACGCCGGCTGCCCCCCCGCCACGCAGGGAAGGCTGGGCGAGAGACTCGGCACCAGCTTCATTCGGATGTGGGAGATTCCCGCGTCGTATCTGGTGAGATCTGCTGTCCACCCTCTGCCTGATGACGCGCGCGACCAGCGGGGGCTTCGCCCACCTCCCTCACGGGAGCCCCGCGTGAGGCCGCCAAGGCATCGTCCCTCCCGCATGGAGTGCTCTCACACTCAGGGTCATGACCAACGGGGGCATCGGCCGCCTCCCTCGCGAGAGCCCCGCGAGCAGCCGCCGTGGCGTCGCCACTCCCAATTGGAGCGCGCACAGTCAAAGGTCAAGGCTGGCGGGGGCATCGGCCACCTCCCTCACGGGGGCCCCGCGAGCGGCTGCAACGTCGCAGCCGCTCCCGACTGGAGTGCTCTCACGGTCAGGGCCATGCGCCGGTAGCTCGCGTATTGGACCTCCCAGACCTTGCCGAAACGCGCGACCAGCGGGGGCATCGGCCACCTCCCTCACGGGAGCCCCCGCGAGAGGAAGCCGTCGCGCATTCTCTGCCGACTGGAGCAGCATCGGCCACCTCCCTCCCGGGGGGCCCGTGAGTGGTCGCCAAGGCGTCACCACGCCCGACTGGATCTTTCTCACAGCCAGGGCCCTGGCCAGCGCGGGCGTCGGCCACCTCCCTCACGGGAGCCCCGCGAGCACCAACCCTTCGGCAGCCGCGCCCGACTGGAGATCTCGCACAGTCAGGGCCTTGCGCTGGTCCCCCCACGCAGTAGCGTCATGAGCTTGACCATGTAGTGGATGACCACGTGGTACCTGCAGCTGTCGCTTCCCCGCTGCTAGGGGAAGACTCACGGCTACGTAACTATGTAGGACGCGACAGGCTTGCCCATAGCCTCCGCCCTGCGCGCTCGCGCCCTCAAGGGCCTCTGCGAGCTCCCTGTGCGGCATTGGGATCAGCATCAGCACCAGCAGCGGCACAGGGCGGGCCTCTTCCCCACGAGGGGCTCGCCACCTCCGCCTGGGCCTGCCGGCCCTGCTGCCGCTAATTATGGGGGGCCGCGATGCTGGCTGCTGCTGACGAGGCTGAGCACAACTGGGGGCGAAGACGCCGGCGTAGCTGGAGACAGCTCGTCCAGATCCCGCCCGCGCTTTTTGAACGTGTTGCGAAGGGTCCTGACCTGCTCCATCTGCTCCCGCTGTGCCTTGAGCGCCTCCGCGCCCGGGCCAAAGTGGGTGCGATCGCGCCTGTGCAGGGATGGCTCCAGCTCCACCCTGAGCTTGTCGAGC